AACCCTCCTGCTCCAGCGTGGCCTACCTTCTCCCTCTCCAGCCCAGGAGTTTTCACATCATCCCCTGGCAGAAGGAATGTCTTCCCCGCAGCCCATTCCCAGGCACCCGGGAGCGGAGCTCCCCTCTCGGGCCGGCTCTCCCCTCCCGCCGCCCTCCTGGGATCCCCCGGCTCCCCGGACACCCCCATCCCCGCCCGGGATGCCCTTCCCCAGCTCCGGCAGAAGTAGATCTTTGTACTCACCCCCTGCCTGCTGCTGTAGCTCTGAGTCTGGAGACCGGCTCTGATTCCGGCTCCATCACGTTTAGTGCATTGTCTCTTTCGGGCAATTTTTGCAGCAATCCATCAGAAAAAGGGGGACAGGCCGCTTTGTGGGTACATCCTTCCCAGGAGCTCAGCTCTCTGCCTCTCTAAGGGGCTCAGCTGTGTCAAAGACACCCCCTGGCCCGGACGGCTCACTCCTTCCTCCTTCTCTTCTGGGTCCTTTTGCTTACACAGATCTTTTAATCCCATTTAACTCCCTCTCGGCAGACTGCAATTACCTTGGGAAAAAGGAGAGAGAACAGAAAGTACACGCTAGGAAGCCAGGCTGGCCCATGGTCGCTGGATTTCTTGCCTCTCTTTTTTTTTTTTTTCCTTCCTCCTTATTAATAGTACAATTTCTGTGATCTCTGATTTCCAAAGTCCTTGATTTAAAGTGTTGGTTTTTTTCTTAGCGGTTACTTTTTTGTTGTTGTTTGGTTGGTGGTTGTAATTATTATTTTTATTTGCAGTGCAGATGTGCCTCCCACCCCCCCAAGGATCTCTCCTCTGGACTTAGAGAGAAGAGGAAAAGGCAGATTTTGAGAAATGAAAATTATTTAAGGATGTCCCTGCTGCCTCTCTCTGCTGCCCTCCTCTGTAATACCGAAGAACTTACAAAAAAAAAAAAAAGAGTAAATAAATAATTAAAAAAAGAAACTGTTTTGGCCAGAAGAGCTGCTGAGAAGCAATTACACAAAGACCCCTTCCAGGCTCCATAGAGGACACGCACAGGCCCCTGCTCGCCAGCTCTCAGCTGCCGGGGAGGTCCATGATCCCCCTGCCCAAACTGGCTTCGACCCACCTCCCCACGGGCTGGCGAAGGACTCGAGTTTTGAGGTACCTGACACGGCTTTTCCCTTGGGCTCAGCACTTGGTGGAGGCAGTCGGGAGCCTGTGGCAGGGGCCTCACAGGAGAAGAGCCCCTCACCTATCCCTGCTCCCAGACCTGGCATCTCTAAATCCCCCCTCTCCTCCCAGCACCATTTGAGGGAAGCTGCAGCCCAGAGGGCAGGGAGAGGGGAAGGAGTTCTCTTAGGCAAGGTCCATCAGATTAAATCAGATCCCAAGTCCACTCAGCCACCTCTGCCAGGAGAGGGGACTTTTGCACATGGGTAAAACCTGCATCCCTGTGCTCCCACCTCTGCCAGCTCCTGCAAAGTCCTACCAAGCTGGTATCCAGCCAGGGTGACCAGAAAGTTCCTCTTGTCCGCACCAGGACATGGCAAACCCCTCAGCTTTATGGGATTCCCTCAGGCAGGTGAGGACAGCCCACCGCACCCAGCCCTGGGTGCCCCCTCGGCCCTGCTCCCAACCCCCTTGCACAGCATCTCTACCTTGGGCACTTACTTTGCAGCGAGGCAAGAGGCTGTGCACCGTCTCCTCGCAGCCCTGCGTTTATTGGCATTCGTTTATCCCAGCAGCTACTTCTTAGAAAATAATAATAATTGAAAAAAGGAGAAAAAAAAAAACAAAAAAACCCCAAAGAAAGCCCAAGCCCCTTCCTCCCTCCTTCTCCTTCAGTCTCAAGGTGTCTCCTGTGCTGGGAGCCAGCGAGTGCCTGCCAGGCACACGGGCCCTGAGCGAGGCAAGGCTTTTTGGCAAGCCTGAGGTTCCCCCAAATTCAAGAGATAATCCTTCCCCAGGACCGGCGCGAGCAGGTCCCCCTCGGGC